AAAATAACACCATCAATATTCATAGCACTATTAAAAATTTATTTTCCTGCCAATTCAAGGAAAGGTGAAATTAGGTAAGGCAGATCTATCTATGTGTAGAGACATATCACAAAAAATAAAAAAAATAAGTACAGCATTTTCCTCATTTTTATTCATTTTCCCCATTGTGAAATGAATGGGTTAAAAAAAATTCTCTGCTCTCCCTCCTAAAACAAGGTTATGAAATCTAATATTATGAAACTTTTGTCACATTTTCATTTAAGTTGTTTGGTTTCATGTGTTTTTCTCATTATGAAATTAGTATGGGGTAGAACAGGAACCATATGCGCTGTTTTCATACCAACTTCTTATTCCTCCCCAGGCCTTTGTCTTGTAAACACATATTTACAATATTATTTACTTTAAATGCTAGTAATTGTGCAGGACAAAGTATGCATCTTCAAGGGCCTGATACTGCTAGTCTTGCTTTATGGAAACAAAACTTGGACTCCATTCTGTGCCTTTGAGATTAATCTTGATGCCTTTTGCAACAATGGATAGTTACAATGTGAGATCAGTGTAGGGCCTGCTTGCTATGATCCTGCCCATCACCTCTTAAGACCATCCTAGAAGAGTCCCATGGGACAACCTATGAAGTCATGGCTTGGGCAAATTGCTGAGATTTATCATGACAAGCTAGAGATGGGATGTTGACCCACCTGGAAGCTTGTCAAAAGGGATTCTTGGGGATGGGAATGAGGGTGGATGTGGGAATGGACCAATGATTATTTGATATTTTATTTCTGTGGTTTCCCAACCATGAAAACTGAAATCAGAATCTTAGTTTAGGACCAATATATTAATAAATGGATAATGGTTCATGTTTTCAAAGCAGAATAAATGTGCTAGACAAGGTGTAGGGAGGGAGTGGGAGTAAGGGGTGTAGGGGAACAAGATTAGGAGGAGGATGAATGCCAGCAGTTACTTTGAGTGTAGCAGGAATGGGAGAAGGGAGAGTGGAGGGTGGATGAAGGACAGGTATGATTTTGGGTAATGATTAGATGGTTTTCAATGTCCATAAAAGCTTCTAAAAGGGGGTTAGTTGGAGAGGTCTGAGAATTGTTACAAGATTTTCTTATGGGATAAGAGAGGACAGATGTTTGAGGACCAGAGGAAGACGTAGATGTAGAAGTTGGGGTGCAACATTTAGATTGTCTGATGCACTGGGTACACCAAGGAGGAGGGGGTTGAAGTAGAAATGTAAGGAGTAGGATGTAGAGATACTGGGGGAGATGTAGAAACATCTTGGGAGAAGGGGGAATAACAGAGTGAAGGACAGTTCCGAGTAAATAGCATTATAAAAACCTCATCTGCATGCATCCTACCTGGCCTTGCATAAGTGCTACCTCAGATTCAAACTTGTATATATTTATTTACTGAAAATTTTCTGCTGTGTCAACATCTAAAGTCATTACCAGCACATTTAAATATAATGATAGGGTGGGGCATGGGGGCAAAGCCCCTGGCTAAGTTTTTAGGTCCACAAGGCAATGGTTGTGGATTTCCAGAATGGTCAATGGTCAAGACAGACAAATGTGCCATACATGAAAGGCCACATAGCATTATGACAAACTACTGTTGCAAAAAGGGGAAATATAAGTTAATGACTAGGATAAGTGGACAGAAGGAGGTATGAAGAGAAGGAAAAAGGAAAGGAGTAGAAAAGGGTCCTTTTCACAGTCTGAACAATCCTTGTCATAGAATGGGCAATCAGCCAGGGAGATGGAAACTGTTCTGGTAAAAGTGTTATGGGAGGAGTGAGGCTGGGCAGGAGTAGGTTTGCCATTGAGATCAGTCAAGGTAGATAATGCATAAGCTTGGGACTTGAATATAACTGTGACAAGGCATGGATTATTGGAAAGGCTGCAGAAGGAAACTTTGTTTACTTGTTTTTTGGAGACATTGTTGGAATAGGAGGGTATGTTAGAGTATGGGGCTCTAGGGGGAATCACGAAAAACTGATCCCACTCAGCTGGGCTATAAGGAGTACTACAAAAATTTGTAGAGGTGGAGGTGGTTGAAAGATGAGGATGAGAGGAAGAGGGAGTGGTGTTGAGTGAGACTGTTGTCTGTGGAGCTTGAGGAGATGTAGTGGAGGATGTTGGGAGAGAGGAAGGAATGTTTTCTGAAGGTTGAGTAATGATCTGGGTTGGTGCTCTGGTGAACTGGCAGCAAGTATCAAGGAGGGGGAAGTAGTAACAGAGTTATGAGCAAAGGAAAGCCAGGAGCAGGGAACTGGAAAAGTAGTGATAGCTGATAAAGGGGGGCAAACCTCAATGCCCCTAATAAAGGTAAAAATTCAATACTGGCCATGGTAAGCCTCAAGTGTGTGGGAAAGAGAATGATACACCTCTAAGGGTCCCCATGAGTGGTATGGGATACAGGCCATTCAAGACTGACTTAAAGCCAGTCTTTTATTCTTTCAACACAGCTCCTATACCTTAGGAAGTGGACAGAAGACGGGATTGGAGAAGGGAAGGAAAAGGAAAGGGGGAGCAAAAAGATCATGCAAAGTTGGCCTAGTTGAGAGCTGAGGCTCATAGTGGAGATCCACAATATTGGGCCTCAGTCTCTGTCTCCTAAGCCCCCCACCCCCTCCTCCCTGTCCCACCAGCAACTATAGGCATGGGATTGGGGGCTATAATAATGAACAGACTAAAATAATGAATTACCTGAAATCAATTGCATATAAACACAAAATACTGAGTCAACATTATAAACATAACATGCTTTCTCCTTTTCAATTTGTATTCAATATTTTTTGTCTCATGCAATGAAAAAAGAGAAAAGAAAAAAATCTGGAATTTTCTTCATGTTGGCTACATCATTTGCAATAAGGAAGGGTAACCTGAAAGAAAGAAGAGAAAAAAGGAATCTCACCATCGCAATTCTAAATAAATATGAGATCCAATTTTCTTGTTTTCGATAGAAATCCTTTAGCCAGTGTTACATAAGGCTATGTCTTAATGTATACAAGTAATAAAATGAACATGGATTTTGCTTTTATTTAAGATACTTGCTATGGTGTTTTGCTATGTATGCTGTAGCTATGATTTCTAATACCTGACTATAGTAGCCAAATTTAAATGTTATTTGATGTCCAAAGACATTCAGAAAACTTTGAGTCCAGGATGCTATGGCCTTGGTGACATCTCTTAAAAGGCTTCATCAGGCTGTAAATAATCAATAAGGTAAGAATCAAGGAAATATCAAAAATTTAATATTGAAATAGCAACCTTAACATACACAGGTTGTAATATATATAACATACAATATAAACAAATCATAATAAGAAAATAAAATATAGTTTCAAATAACCTGTGATGCAGATCAAACACACCATTGCGTACACAAAAATATATGACAAAGGAAAGATAAAAATCACCACTCATGGTTTTATCTTTGGAAAGTCAAGTGTTAAGTAGATTCTACTGTTTTTGCTCTGAATGTCCCATGCAAAGCCCCATTCAGTGACTCTTGCCATATTCTTATGTAAATGCATATAAAGTGTCTACATGTAGAAATTATACACAGAATTGGTATCATTTCGCTGGTCAAGAAATGCAAACATATTTGCAGTGATCAGATGTAATGCTCAGATCATCAAAACTATGCTCAAGTACTTCTCTGAACCACTTTAGACACAGATTAATGTGTATGACTTCAATGGAAAGTAAGGAAACTGCAGGAAGCTGTGACAAAGGGCATTAAAAAGAACCTGCTACAGCACAGAAGATGCAGGCAGCACTGGTGGGAATATATTTTGGTCATAAAAATAAACCCCAAATGTAAGTTTGGACTTGCCTTTGAAGTCATTTTCCTTAATGTAGTCTACTTTATTATTCAAAGTGCATACAATGGACAATGGATGGATATTCAAAATTTGCCTTTATCATCATCCAAAAACAACCAAATGGAAACATAATAAACAAAACAAGATTGTAATAATCATTCCAGTTAAAATACTCAACCTTAACTCTTTATTTCTTGTTTAACATTATGAGGTAAGGTTACAATACAAACTCTTCTTTACTTAACTTGCTATTATATGAAAAGAAAACATCAATCTGTCACTTCTACACAGTTGGAATATTATAAATAAATCACACTATTACACAACCTTTTGTACACTGGTTCAATGATCAAATGACAATCAAACTAGAAATATTATGAGAATATATGCTCCCTAATTATGGCAACCATGATTTCAAGTCAATATTAACATAAAAGACTGAACATAAGAGAGGGTAGGTGTGGGAGAAGATAAAGGGGAAGAGGAAGGGAAGGAGGGATGGAGGGGCAGAGTGAAGGAGTTGAGATGAGGCAGGAGTGGGAGGGAGGGAAGAAAGGAGGAATGGAGAGAGGGAGAGAGTGGAAGAAAGAGGGAAAGAAGGAAGGAAGGAAGGAAGGAAGGAAGGAAGGAGGGAGGGGAGAGAGAGAGAGAGAGAGGAGGGAGAGAGGGAGGGAGGGTGTGAGAGAGAGAGAGAGAGAGAGAGAGAGAGAGAGAGAGAGAGAGAGAGAGAGAGAGAGAGAGAGAGAGAGAGAGGGAGGGAGAGAGGGAGGGAGAGAGGGAGGGAGAGAGGGAGGGAGAGAGGGAGGGAGAGAGGGAGGGAGAGAGGGAGGGAGAGAGGGAGGAGAGAGAGGAGGAGGGAGAGAGAGAGAGAGAGAGAGAGAGAGAGAGAGAGAGAGAGAGAGAGAGAGAGAGAGAGAGAGAGAGAGAGAGAGAGAGAGAGAGAGAGAGAAGGGGGGTATGTCTGTATATACAATATGTATGTTTGTAAGGGTGTATGTTTAGGGTATGTGTATGCATGTGTAACACATGTGTTTTGATTAATTCTTTTGAGTACAAATACTTAAATGTCCTATAGGAAATTTTAGGCCTTCATGGCCTACTGGACAGAAAACCAATGGACAGTCCAAAAAGTTATTGCATGTATATGTGATGTATTTAGTGTTTTTGATACTTGTTCAGGCTATATACAATTCTTCTTCTAAGTGTTCAATATATATTATTCTCAGTTTATGTTTATAAAGAGGAGATGGCTAAGATGAGCAATGGCTGATTAACCCAACACTGACGGGTGAAAAGAATCCCTGAGAATTTTAAACTCTAGAGATTTCTGGCAACGGGCAGACACTGGGTGCGGGAGTGAACTACATCAAGCCGAACATCCCACTCCAAGCAGTCTGGCACGTCACTGCGCCTACAGGTGTACCCTGCAGACTGAGCAGTTTGTTATGATGCCGATAGGCGTGGCCCGTCAGCAAGAGGTTAAGAAAGACAAGTAATTATCTCAACACATCCTCTCTCAATTTTTCCTTTTCTGAATGCAGATACTGCTGAAAAAAATTTTGCTCTCAAAATTTATCTCCTTAAAAGAAAACAGATCAAAACAAGAACAAATAAGAAAAGAAAAAACACAGCCTGCAATCAACTTCTTGGCATTTAGTTGGCTGCAAACCAAATTTGTGGATTTCATATTTATATAAATTATAAAATACATTCTCAAAGGCATTTTTGTGTTTAATACAAGTAGGTTATGAACTGAAATCTTAACCAGTTCTCCATGTTTTAAAAGCACACTTGTTCAAGAGGTAGAATATTACAGAGACCCGACTCAATAATAACTATATAGAAGTTGTTACATACTTTACACTGGATTTAGATGTTCACATTTTGGCTTGTACATATAATGTTTATATAATTCTAATTCTCCATTACAAGTGCACAACACTGTAGTCAATTTAGCAAGAGGTTTGATTTGGAATAAATCATGCTGGTATGTGGCACAGAGTACTATAATGCGCAGTAGGCTACACTCCCATCTCGTATGTAAGCTATCCCTTCTTAGTGGCGCTCAATTTCTTGTGTAATTATTGACCAGTAGCTCCAGATTTCCTAATACCTGATGTCTATGCTGCATCACAAAAAATATGCAGGTAGTTTTCCTGCTTATGAAGCTTTGTACCCTTCAATCAAACTCAGGAAATTTAATAATTTGGATGATTTACCCTCTTTCCATTGCATGTACACAGCTCCTACCTACAGAGGAAATTATTTGGAATTATTAGAGAAAAATAACATTAATCTAACTTTCTTTACTATATGGCCATAGGAAGTCCTTCAATATAAATTCAATTAGCTTAATAACTATACAATTAAAACAATACTAGGATACTTTTGAAGCTAATCATTACTGAAGAATATCTTCATTTTGTACTAGAGATTCTGAGGCCTGAAATAACTATACGATTCTGATTCATTCTTATATGTGTCTACTGATTTGGCACCATAATTTATACTATCATGTGATTATGGGTGAAAACTAAACTTATATGATGCTGTTAACTTATGCAATTAATTAAATGTTGAAAAGATTAGGTGCTCCTCTGAAAGACTGTAAAATAAGAACCTCCATCAGAGTATGGCTAACACATAGCTTTCCTTACTAGGCCTTGAACTACATGTTGAGGTGTGACGGCCCTGGGTGATGCATGTTCATCTGGTAAAGAACACCAAGACGAGACATAGCAGCATGATGATGCATCTGCTGGTGCATGGGGTGGTGCATGGTCATTGGGGGTTGCATGTGTGCCACCTGGGGATGATGCATCATGCCCTGAGGGACACTTAGTGGGTCAACCAGCACCGTCTGCTCCACCTGAGCAGGCGCTTCAGTTATCTCTGTTACTACCAGAGAATTGTCATCCTCTGTGGTAGTAATTTCTTGATATGCTCCAAGATTTCGAGCTGCCTCTGCTGCCTCATCTACAACTGGTCTCATATGTGGATGCTGTTGGTGTTGTGGAACTACACCATGATGATGAGGATGCTGTTGCTGCTGCTGTTGCTGTTGCTGCTGCTGTTGTTGCTGCTGCTGCTGTTGCTGCTGCTGCTGTTGTTGCTGCTGATGCACAACCCCTGGTTGACCCATATGTGTCATCTTTTGTTCCATACCAGATCGTTTTTCCATGTGTTTCGCCAAAGGTAACCCATCTACACGTTTCTTCCGGAGGTAATTTTCAGAATAGGTCATTTCTTGTGGAATATTATGCTTACTTACCAGATGGTTACGCAGCTTGCTACGGTCATAGTACTCTTTGCCACAATATGTACAAACCTCTGCCTTCCTACGGTCATTATGAGCACGTTTGATATGAGTATTAAGTTCCCCAACCCTCTTATAACACTTACCACAAATTTGACAGTAAAAGGATGGTTTTTCATGCATTTTAACTCTGTGATACCGAAGGGCATCAGAAGTAGCGAATCTATCTCCACAGTACTGACAGTTATAAAGGAGAATGCGAAGGTGCACAACATTGATATGCCGCAATAAATCAGTTTTGGTGGCATAACGTTCTCCACATCTATCACACTGTTCTTTAAACTCAGAGTGCATCTTAACTTTGTGCATTTTAAGGGACACTTTAAGGACGGTCTTGCCACATATTTCACAC